TTTTTGTCTCAAGCGCCTAGGAAGACCTGAACACCTTTCTTAATTTTTCTCTGGAAGTTTAAACTATAAGGACGCGCTAAAACAAACGTTTGCTCGTTTCCCCGGCACTACCCCGTCCTGCTATCCGAGCACTGACCTTGAAGGGTCCCTAACACATATTCTTTATCCTTCCCGGAACATTCAGGGAAAACTTACACCACAAGACTCACGCTCCCCTTGCCTATTTGCAGCCTTACGTACACGCCACCAGGCTCTGCACCACAAGTAGCAGCGAGCAGAACCAAAGGCACCCGCGAAGCAGAGCGGGCATGGCTCGCCGCCGGCTGCGTGGACCGACGGTTGTTTAGCTCCATCTCCGAAATGCGCACCGTCTGGGCAGCTCAGGGGCCAAAAGCGGGCTTAACCCTGTAGAAGGGGCATCGAAAAATTCAGTCCTTTCTCGTGACATGGTTTCCAAAGAGAAGGGAATGTTCTTTGAAATGCTCATTGCTTCGCACGCTAGCCAGTCAGGTCTAGGAGAAGCGCTGTCCACCTACCCAGCCACCGAGGAAGGCCGCCCAGCCTCTGCCTGTGGAGAAGAGAGGCATAGAGGACCGGACACAAAGCCTGGCGCCTCCTTCTGCGCAAGCGCAGACAGGCCTCTCCCATCGGCCACCTCGGCTCGGAAGTGGTGGTGGTGGGCGGGGCTCCCTCTGCGCATGCGTTCGGTGGTCCAGCCCGCTGTCTCGGTGGGTGTCGAGGTTGTGCGGACCTGCTGGTCTCTGACAACAGTAGCCAGTGGCCTGGACCTCAAGTATCGGCGGGTACGCAGGTTTTCTCTTAGCTTTCGAAGTCTTCTGTTTAGGGCGGTGATTCACTGAAGTACCTGAAGTGTGTCGGACTGGTAGGGCGGTTCGGTGTTCTCAAACATTTCCGAGGTGGGTGGAAGGGCGGCGAAAACTACTTTCTGTAGCGCGGCTGCGGACAGTTCTGTACGTTGGCGAAATACCCAGCAGTGGTGCCTGACTTGCGACAGCGCACAGAAGACTTTTAATAGTATTTTTCAGGTATTTGTTGACGAAGGAGGAAGCGAGGACAGAGGTCCAACCTGTGCTGCCGACTCAGTGTATATCGTAGTTTAAAGACCACCCAGAAGTTAGAATCGTTAAATGACCAGTTTTTTTTAGTCCGATGTTTTTATCTTCACTTTGCTGGGCAGATATCCAAAATACTGGGCTGCCGAGTCCAGGGCCGCTCGCCTAGCCAACCTGCTGACTCGGAGCTTCAGAGCCATGGCGGCGAAGGAGTCGGGCGATGCAGGAGCGGAGTCGGCCCTCTGCCCATCAGCCAATCCGAGCCAGCAAGCCTCTGAAAAACCAAACTATGCCCTCAAGTGTACTCTCGTGGGACACACGGAAGCCGTATCATCAGTTAAGTTTAGTCCTAGTGGAGAATGGCTAGCAAGTTCTTCTGCTGATAAAGTAATTATTATTTGGGGAGCCTATGATGGAAAATATGAGAAAACACTTTATGGTCACAGTCTGGAAATATCAGACGTTGCGTGGTCATCAGATTCCAGTCGTCTTGTTTCTGCCTCAGATGATAAAACTCTAAAGATTTGGGATGTGAGATCTGGAAAATGTTTGAAAACGCTGAAGGGGCACAGTAATTATGTTTTTTGCTGTAATTTCAATCCACCATCCAACCTCATCATTTCAGGATCTTTTGATGAGAGCGTGAAAATATGGGAGGTGAAAACAGGAAAGTGCCTCAAGACTTTGTCTGCTCATTCTGACCCAGTTTCTGCTGTTCATTTTAATTGTAGCGGCTCCTTGATAGTGTCAGGTAGCTATGATGGTGTCTGTAGAATCTGGGATGCTGCATCAGGTCAGTGTTTAAAAATGCTTGTTGATGATGATAATCCTCCAGTCTCTTTTGTAAAATTTTCTCCGAATGGTAAATATCTGCTCATTGCAACTTTGGACAATACTCTCAAACTATGGGATTATAGCAGAGGCAGATGCCTGAAGACATACACGGGTCATAAGAATGAGAAATACTGCATATTTGCCAATTTTTCAGTTACTGGTGGAAAGTGGATTGTGTCTGGTTCAGAGGATAACCTGGTTTACATTTGGAACCTCCAGACTAAAGAGATTGTACAGACATTACAAGGTCATACAGATGTCGTAATCTCAGCAGCTTGTCATCCTACAGAAAACATCATTGCATCAGCAGCATTAGGAAATGACAGAACAATTAAACTGTGGACGAGTAACTACTAAACCCTTTAGAAATCTAGTAGTAGAGCCAAGTTGGCAAAAAAAGTTAGGTATTCAAAAGATGGTTTCCCTTAATTTTGGCACGGTTTTGTATTTCTTTTTAATATTGCCTTGGTTTTAAGATTTTAATACCTATAACCTAAATTTACAAAGCAAGACAGTTGGAAAAGCAAGTCTAGAACCTAGGGCTTCTGACTTTTAATCTTGAGGTCTGTTATTAATCTCATGTCTGTCCCTGAACAGATACCCATTCTGTTTCTCTCAATGACTGTTCTAGAGGATCAGTACATTTGAGAAATATTTAGAAGGTTCAGAAAACAAGACGACTGATTAAATGTGGGGAGCTAGGGAGTTTGGAATAACTCCCAGGTTTTTGGTTTGGGAGATCAGAGGGCTAAGAGCATAAGCCTGGGACGGTGGTGGACTGGAGACAGAAGATGCCTCTCACACACTTTGATAGCTTACATGATGGGATATGAAATGGTCTGTGTAATCAAGTCTGTAAATTGGGAAAAATAAGCCACAGTTAGGTTTCTTCTGAGAGTCTGAAATTTTTAAGTTTTTATCAAGATTACAACCAGAAACAAACCAAAACATTATGAACGACATTTTACTGAAGGACCTCTCACTACCTTGTCAGATTGTGCCCTCTCCTGATGTTCAGGCAAGCTAAATGTGTGAACGGTGAGGCTGCTCCCTTCCCTTATGTGTCTGACCTACTAATTCCTGCCCATGCTTCAAGTTCAGTTCAGAAGTTACCACTGTGGAGCCATCACAGCTGTTAGGTTTTCTTGCTTCTTTCTATAGCTCCTGTTATAAAACTAGAATGTCATTTACTAATTTGTATTGTAATGGTTTCATGGGCCATGTTTCCAGTAAATTATGTGCTCTGTGGAGTCAAGAAGTATCTTTTATGCATCTTTGTATTCTCAGTTTTTATATATAGAAGAGACTCAAGTAACGTTTATGAATGACAATGAATTATACCACCACCACACCTTCATTCATTCGTGGCCTGCTTTCAGTAAATTTTTGGAATTAATTCCTCATACTATTATTTTTGTTGATTAAAATTAGAAGTATCCAACTATAGCTTCACGTATTAACTTTATTCAAATAGGGCTTATAGGAAATATAAAGTGGAAAATGGTTTCTGCCCACATTACCTATAGAGACATAATAAACATGAAAAAAGTCTAAAAATTAAGCAAAAAACAGTACAAGAATAATTTAATTGAAAGCAACAAGGACAAAAGTGTTGTCGTTCTTTTGTATTTTATAGTACCTTATAGTAGTGCTCGTTAAATCTGATTTGCTTGACAAGTTCTGAGGAATGTAAGATATTAGAGTAATTAGTAGTAGGGTATGACTGCTAAGAAGTTAGTATGTGAGGGTACTGGGAGAAGTGGTGTTAGAGAGGGGCAGGTCTGAAATTCTGGCCAAGACATTTATATTTAACCCATAAAGAGGTAGTCACCATAAGTTACTGAGTAGGAGAATGACAAAAATGAGAAATGATTGTGTAAATTCTTGCTCCATGGTAACATTTGTGAGCTTTGGTTTAATGAAACATTTTTATTACAATAAATCTCCAAGATACAACACTTTAAAATGCTTCTTTAGAAGTTAAAATTGGTAATGTTCTATGCAGAAAGATTCCTTCTTTTTAAGAGGACTACATTAAAATTTACCCATATTTAAAACATTAGTTTAGGTAAGATTTAACAAGTGTTCCAAAATAAGAAAAACCAATCTGTTAAAATGTATAAGAAATAATGCTTTTTGATGATGAATTTGCAAGTGATAAAAATCAAAGAACTTGATATCTAAAAAGAAGCTAAGGTCAAATTACTCTAAAGTATACAGACATCATTAACATCATCAGCTAGTTTATGAAGCTACAGGTGGATTGGTGCTTTACAGTTTCCTGGGTATTGTATTAAACCAAGTTCCCAAGCAGCTGCATATATTATTTTTTAATCTGTTACAACCCTCTGGGAGAACTAGCAGGTTGGGATGGCTATGAGGACTTGTCATCCATTAACACTCATGCAGCATGTGAGAATAAATGAAACACTTAAAACAGAAACCAGCATCCACACCAAAGTGTAAATGAGATACGTCCCAGGTGCAAATGCTTATCTTTCAACACTCATTTAATAAGAAAATGCATTTGACAGATTTTTATAACTGAGAAATTTAGTGTAAAGGCAGAAGGAAAAGGACCAGTTGGGAATTCTAAGCCGTGGAGCAGAGGAGGTGACTGTGCTGGCCACAAGCTACTCCACGATGCCAGGGTTTCAAAGTCCTCTGAAACTCATGGCAAGACCACTCCCATCCCCTTGCCAGGACTTTGTTTCAAAGTCTGCCCTCCTAAAAGCCTCTGTCTGCCAGCATGCCCGAAGATGCGGAGCGTGTCTGGCTGCCTCCCAAGGCTCTGAGAAGCACCATGGCATCTGGGGAGGTTAGCTCTCCAAGATGCACCTGGACAGTGTACTCAGCTGGCCGCCTTTCTCTCTCCAGAAATGAGTATACAGAAGAGAGAGACGCAAAACTAGAGGTCACTTTGGCTTCTGTGGAGAAATCACTTTGGTAACGAGAATTAAAGTAGGAAATGGTACCTAACTCTCTAAAGGAGAGTTTAAGTTGAAATAAATTGTCTCATTTTTCATTCTTCATTTTCTCCAAAAAGCTGAGAGGCTGCCCTTTATCTGAATCAAAGCCATAAAATATAGACAATTCATTTCTTTAGGAAAATTTATTTGTACTTAGAGCAGAAATAGGGACATGGTATAAGCTTGTGCAAATCATACTTTTATGAAATGGATCCTCATACCACATTCTTTTTAATACAGGCTTGTTGCTGCAATATTATTCCTGGATTTTCAAAATCCCGCCAACATGGATACCTCTGCTACTCTGTTTTGGCCTTCATAGCTGCTTCCTCTCTCAGACGAGCTTTCTTTTCTAAGTTCAGGCTTGTTAAAGACTCATTTCTTTTGACAGCCTAAAGTGAAACAAATTTGAATAGGTGATTATTTAAGCCGGCTTGGGGAGGACGACATTACCGTGCACTGATGTCAGCAGGTAACTAGGGCAGTACAGGCACGGGACGGTCTGCTGCCTGCACACGGGGCACAGCAGTCCCCTCCATGTGCCTTCTGCTTCTCTCATGCTTCACAGACATAGCCCATGCACTCAAGCACAGAAATACCACACCTCTGCCTTCTCTCCTTTTCTGGCCTCTTTCTTTAAACCTTCTAGCGCCTCTTCTTCCCTTATAATTTATTCCCATCTTTTTCTTTTTCCTCTCTTTAGTATCAAATGTCTTCTCTCACTTTTCTTTGTTGCTACCATTTCTCCTTCCCCAACTCATGGTATACCTTCACACCCTTCTAGCTCCTTACTCCTCTTGTACCAAACACATTCAGCTCTGGGGCTCGGAGACTTTACCAACTACTACCACTGATGACTTCCAGCGGTGCCTATCCTTCCACTCCATCCTGTGAGAACAAATAGCAGTCGGGGAGAGGCAACCATCCTCCTCCCTTGTTTCCCTCCATGTGCCTGTCACATCCTCTGAAGCTTACATAAACAGACCAGTTTCAAAATTTGTATACCAAATAACTGAAACCAGCACCCTATAAGGCAGTATTTTCTTATACCTGTGTAATTTCACATGTAAAGAATTACACATGGGGAGAGAATGAGAATGTAAAGTTGATAGTGAGGCCAAAACATACAATGGCTATATTTCTTTCTTCCAAATTACATTAAGTTCAAAAGTTCTCCATTCCAGTAGCACTTACCAACTTTTTAGAAATGGATAGTTCCATAAAAGACAAATACAATTTTATGGTATAGAACAGGAAAGGAACTCTCTAAAGTACACAGCGGATACCCTTAGATGAGGCTAGCAGAAATCCCAGGGAGTAATTTGTTTCTGAAGTATTTAAACCCAGCTAGTATAATCAAGTATACAAAAGCAATGCAGATTTCTCGGAACTCTAGAATCCCCTATGTCCTGTCCACATGCTTCTGCAGGTTTCACGTCCGAGAACTAAGCATGAGAGGTCAAAGAGGGAGACAGAAGAAAAACTGAAGTGGAGCAGGAACAGAATTGTCCAGAGAACTTCAGTCAGGTCTGCAAACTTGCCCTTCCTGCTCCCATGAGGTCCTAAATGGTCAGTATTTTCCATTCCAAGATTCTAGAGCCGGAAGTTCATTTTATTTTACTCTGGACTCACTGGGGATAAGTCAGTTGCCACTGGGTTTGTAGAAGAACCTTTTTTAATATTTGATAATAGATACAAGAAATCTCTTTCCACATGGAAGTTGTGATAGACAGAATTACACATGGTATTAAAATAAGGGTTTGACCAATGCTGCTACATATAAAATTCACTATTTTAATCACAAGATACTATAGTATCTTGCAAACTTGGCTCTAAATTATCTTGCCACTTATTTGCTATGTGAGTTCGGGAAAATTACTCAACATCTCTAAGCTTCAGGCTCCTCTTTTATGAAACATGGATAACAACAGAACCTACCTCTGAGATTCTTAGGGTTATTGTGGTGATTACGTGTGTTTAACAGTACCTGCCATATGATAAGCACTTGGTAAGTGGGAGCAACTTTACCATCACCTCAATTAGACACGTCTAAGGTCAAACTGTGGTTCTGCCATTAAGGAGATGTGTGACCTTGGGTAAGTTACTAAAGCTTTCTGAGCTATGCTTCCTCATCTGTAGATGTGGTCCAAATAATAGTACCAATCTTGCAGTGTTGTGAGGTTCAAATGAGATAACAGCAAAGTATTTGGAAGACAGTGAGTACACACTTAATGACAGCCATTAATAATGATCCAAATAATCTAAATAATAATCTAAAACAAAGATTTATGGACTTGAATTCCTAGGTACCACTTAGGAGCTATGGTCCTTAGACATATGGCCCAGTTTGGCTAAGCTTCGAGTAAAGAATGGTGATAAGAATTCTCACCAGGATTAAGGCAGAGTGAGGATTAATAAGCCCATGTACTGAGTGTGCTTTAACCTGGTGAAACCCTGGGCCGCCAAAGCCGAGCGTGCGAACTTAACTACTCGGCCACGGGGCTGGCCCCTAAACACTTTTTTTAACTTTACATGAAACTGATTTAGTCCTTCACCTTGTCAAAGTTAGCATTTGCTATTTATCCAAGGCATGAAATCCCAGGTTTGTCCCTACTATGTCTTATTTTGTTATCATTTCTCATGTAGAAAGCAGCCGCCTCTTTTCTCAGAGAATAAACATGAGGGTCAACTTCTGATTTCCTTTAGGTCCTTTGCAGAAAACAAACAGAGATAGCGAGGAAGTCCACTCTCACCTTCTTGCCTTCAATAACCATGAGGATGCACCCTGCCACTGTCAGGGCAATCATTAAATAGCTGATCTTCACCCGGATCTTGTTCTTTGCAGCATCGAGCATCTCAAACCTAATAATATAAAGAGATCATGACAGAAAGTTAACTTTTCTCTTTCTGAAGTTGCCAGCAGGGTATAAAGCTCTGTGTACCACAATCAGAAGTGGAGTGGTGCCTTTAAATATAAAAAAGGAAGTGGGGCCTGGAGATCTTGTATGACTTTGGGGAGAATGGGGCATTTTCACAACTTCATATATGTATATAAAATACAATAGACAGTATAAATTTAAAGCAGGAAAAAAGAAGAAAGAGTAGGGGCTGGCCCAGTGGCATAGTGGTTAAGTTCATGCACTCTGCTTCAGTGACCCGGGGTTCACAGGTGTGGACCCTGGGTGTGGACCTACACAATGCTCATCAAGCCATGCTGTGGCAGTGTCCCACATACAAAGTGGAGGGAGATTGGCACAGATGTTAGCTCAGGGACAATCTTCCTCACCAAAAAGAATAAAATAAAGTAGGAAAAAAAGAAGAAAGAGTGAAGACAAATTGGAGCCAGGAACAAAGAAAAAAAAAAAAAGGAAGAAAGGCATATTAATCCACACTTGCTATGGCAGGCCCCCATTTGGCTCTCAAGTGTCACATTCTCAGCCAATCTAAAAGTGAAAGCAGTAGCTCCTTCTCCCTGGGGTTCTTAAGAAGATAAGTGATATAATGATTATCTGAACAATATCCTGACAACAGATACTGCAATGAGCTTCATGAGTTTCAGCACAAAGCAGAATTCAGAAGAAAACTAAACTGGGAGAGAGTTAAACAATATGCTCTTTATACCCAGCTTTTTGCTGTTTGCCTTGAACCAGAAATAGATTTGAGGGTATCAGGAAGAGCAGAAAGATCCTTTAAGCAATGTTTATCTTTTAACGTTTTGCTAAAACTGAGTGACAGTGAACTTGAGATTGTGCCTTTCCTAACCTCTCCACTGAATCCATGTGCCTTAACAGAAAGTTGAGGGGGCCAGCCCCGGAGGCCTAGTGGTTAAGTGTGGCGCTCTCTGCTTTGGCGGCCTGTGTTTGGTTCCTGGGTGCAGACCTACACCTCTTGTCTGTTAGTGGCCATGCTGTCGTGGTGGCTCACATACAAAGAGGAAGACTGGCAACAGATGTTAACTCAGGGTGAATCTTCCTGAGGAAAAAAAGAAAGAAAGAAAAGAAAAAAGAAACAAAAGAAAAAGAAAGTTGAGGGTTGGATTATCATTCTTGTGTGAAAGCTAAGAGGTCTAACAAGGACAAGTCTAAAGACACGGCCACCTCACCTTGGTGCTTCTTCACACAGGCAGTGGGTTGCAGTTCTATTACCTGGGTGGCTGGTAGAGTCTCAGGGCAGGGCATGTGGAGGCCTAATGGGCCCAAGATAGAGTACTGGCTTACTCAGTAGGGGTGTAAATAGGAAGTGATTATCTCCAGATGATGGGATTTGGAGTGTTTTTTCCCCCAGATTTTTAACATACTACTTTTGAAATTGGGGGGATTGAAGGGAAGTACTTTAAAAATACTTGGAAGGAGGCACAGGGTCCAGGATGCTGCAGGAGGTAGGAGAAGACCCCTGAAAGCATGTACACTGTGATGCAAGAGCTGGACCCAGTGAGGCAGCAGTGTGGTCGGCATTCTCCAGGCACTGAAGCTGGGCCTGCAGGAGGGGAAGAACCAGGGACATCTGCTAAGGACAGTGAATTGCTCTATTAAGAGTATCTGAGGTCCCGCTAACCACAAACTAACTACTAATGTTTACAATATTTTATGGGAATTGGCATTTCCAACTGAAGTGTTGTGATCCTTATGAAAAGTGAAATATTTTACATTTGAGAGAGCATTAAAAAGGTAAAATGCATTTAAATAAGGCCATGAGCTTGCCCTCCATTCCACAGAGAGCAATCAGAATGGGAAAGTTCAGCAGTGCTTGTTCAGAACCACCAGCACAAGGATAAATGGTGGCCCAGAGAAGAGCCTTCTAAGATGACTCATCAGGTAGTACTTCGGGCTTGAGGGGATCTTGGAACCGCCTACAAGGCAGACTGAGGAAGGTGTTCCATAGCAAAGTCTAGACAGCACCTAGTAGGGCCATGGGTATTTACCAGCTTGTTTTCTGCTGGGATATTCAGGAAGAAATTAGGGTACAAGCAAGAACTGATGGCATTGTTATTTCCAGCATGCTCTTATTTCCCAGGAGAGTACACTGTCACTTAAGCTAAGAAGAACCAGGGCTTTCCTGCTGAAATAATTTTAGTGGACAAAATGTGCTATTTAATTTGACTGGCGGAAGCAGAAGGGCTCTGTTAAAGCTGTTGTAAACAGAAATTTAACTTCCTGGAAAAAGATACCCTGAATGAACCCATATCTTTTTCAATCATGACTTGAAACCACAAGCCAGAAGGTCTAGGTTCTTGCTAGAAGGGAACATCCAGGAGCTTTGTCCCAAGTCCCTGTCTCTGAAGAGGATGATGCCCCACAGGGGAGATGGCATCTATTTCTCAGACTCTCTCCGCCAAGATGTAAACCAAACAGGGTCTTTAACATCAGGCTGGAGCAGTGGTTCCCAACTACGGGTGACTCTGCCCCGCAAGGGACATTTGGCAATGTGTGGAGACATTCTTGATTGTCACAACTGAGTGCTACTGGCATCTAGGGGGTAAAGAGGTCAGGGATGCTGCTAAACATCCTATAATGCACAGGACAACCCCCTACAACAAAGAATTATCTGGCCCAAAATGACAATAGTGGTGAGGTTGAGAAACCCCAGCTTAGAGGAATCTGTACTCATCATCTCCAGACTCTGAAAAAATCCCAAGATCCAAGCCAGAGCTGGGTTTAAGGAAGCCCATGACAGGAGGCACCCTTTCCTGGATCCCAGAAAGAGATGTTGCTTTTAAATACTTCTATGCCAATGGCTGAATACTTGAGTGGATTTTATAGAATAAAGTTATTGTCACTGGTACCTAACTGATATATCCAGATTAATAACTCAAACACTGACCAGTTATGTTTCTGTAGCTGGGAGAGGAAAGCAAATCAGTTGACTTTAGGGACCTGACAGCTTTTCACTGGGCACTACAGAACACATCAATGATAAGAGATGGAGTTTCCAGCACTGTTTTTATTCCATGTACTTGCCAAAGAGGAAACATTTAGAGAAGTGAAAACTGTTTTAAAATTTGATTAAAAGGGTTTAAATAGTTAGACTCGGAGGAGGTGCTTTCCCTCTAAAACAGATCAGTGAGAAATAAAAGCTGCTTACAACCCTAAGTTCAGCACTCACGAGACAGTCTCTGGGATTTCATCTTCCTTTTTGAAACGACCTGACCATATCAGGATCTTCCTCTCCCAATCCGTAGGTTTGTGTAATGGCACTCTGTGGCTGTAAGTGTCTATGAGAAAAACAAAACACGAAATCTTATTTGAGATTATGACTGTCAAATTTAGCAACAGAAAAGTGCTATTTGTGCTTTTTAGCTATTCACTAAACAGAACCATGGAGAAACCTCAACATAATTGGAGCCTTAATTTGAATGGAATTTCTTAGGATGCCTATTTCTCAAGTGAGATTCCAAAATTCTTTGAGAACTGAGGTAAAATAAAAACACTATTTTTCAATATAAGCCCTAGCCATTGGAAGCTGAAAGAACACCATGAACAAAGATATGAAGGTAAGGATGAACTCAGAGGCGAACAGTGAGGAGCTTGTTTCACTTCAGCAGACTAAGCAAAAGTTTGTAAGGTGAAATCAGATTATAAAAGACCTTGAATGCCAGGCTAAGGTTTTTAGACCTGATTTGGGAACCACTGTACACATTGAAGCAAGGAGGAAGTTAATGTTTTAGGAAGATTACTCTGCACAATGGACGGAAGAGAGAAAGGAAGGACAGGATGGAGGGGGCAACAAGTGCAAAGAGGAGGCTGTCGTTCAAGGCTGAGGTGAGGCGGTCTGAACCAGAGATCTAACAGTGGGAAGAGAAACAAAAAAGTCAATCTGAGGATCACTGCAAGAATTTGGAGACTGATTAAGACAAAGAAGGAATCATGAAGAACCTCAAACTTGGATGACTGAGACAACAGCAGTACTGCTAATTAAAATGAGGAAACTGTGAACAGAACCAGTTAGGAAAGGAAAAAGCAGGAATGCCATTTTAGATCTATTGGGTCTAAATTTATGCCACCTGAGCAGGTTTCATTAATAAGTCAAGAGGTAGAGACAACCATTGGTGCAAAAGGAGAGCCAGTAAGGGTGATAAAGAAGAGCAGAAGGCCAAGAGCTGAGCCTTGGGGTATGACCCAGCAAAGCGGACAGGAGAGAGGCAGCTGAGGAAAATGAGTGGAGCGGCCAAGGAGGCATATGGACAAGAAAGGTACACAACCACTGACTGTAAGAGAAAGGGTCTGCAAAGAAAGGGGAAGTCATCGAAGATAAAGAGTAAAAAAAGTCAGGGAAGCACAGAATGTCAGGGTTAGAAGGGCACCTGGAGGTAATTTCATCCAGCTTCCACATACTGCCCACGTCTCTCCTGCAGACAGACCATCTCCTTGACCGCTACCCACACATCACACTCATTCCCACCTCCACATCTTTGCTTATGCTGTTCTGTCCACTTCATCAGAAGGCAACACTAGAAGGAACGGGAAAGTTACTAGGAAAAAAATCCATAAAGAACCAAAGGCAAAAAAAGAGGTTTGGAAATAGAGAAATAGTAACGCTGTAGTTTTACCTTTTAACACTTCCAGCACTTGGCATAATTCTCTTTATAGTTTTTTTTGTTTTCATTTTAAGTACTATATACCCATTAAAGACAATTCAGAAGGTATAGATGTGAAAAAAGAAAAAGATAAAAATCACCCTTAATTCCCTTGTCATAGCATAAGCACTATATTTTAATTTTGGTGTATTTCCTAAGTCTTATCCTCATATGTATGTATGTATAATTCATATGTCTATCACGCTTGTGCTTGCACAAAGTATAAAGTTCTGTATCCTGCTTTGTTCATTAACATTACAACAAACATTTTCCATGCCAGTACATGGTATTTATTAGCACCATTTCCAAGAGCTACATAATCTCATCAAGTGGATCTAACCTACATAATTAATCATTCCCAGATTATCTGACATTTAGATTTATTTCCCATTTTCCCATTATATACAAAAAAATGGGAACACCTTTACACTCAAAGCTTTTATACACATAAAGGGGTTATTCATAAGGCTAGATCCCAGAAGTGAAATACCAGGTTGAAGGGGATAAACATTTTTATGCTCTTGCTAATCTTTGAGGATGGTTCCTTTCCACTCACCCAGACCTGCCTTGCCCTAGCATACTCCCATGAAGAAGCAACAAGCAAATAGTTCCTGGGACACTACAGGATATCCATTATGCTCCTTCTTCCCATGGTGGTGACAGTAACCAGAGTTTTAGTTAGGGACAGGACAAAACGTGGCTGAAGTTAACGCCCAAGCCCTAGTTATATTTTTCCCCAAACCTAATTTCTTGATTTGTTTCATCTTTGGGGTTCCTTAAAAGATATTTTCTAGACCACTATTTACTTTGGTGCATCTATTTTCCTACAAAAAGCTCCAGTCCAACCCTTGAGGCAAGAGAGGAAAATGACAAATGAGGAAAATGAAGACATCATTGCTACACGTTACATGTGGGCACAGCCAGCCAGTATAAGTACAATTGGAAGGCCTGAACTACATGATAGCACATGACGTGGGAAGACCCATGCCCACCTCTCTTTTGGGTTCTTTTGATTCCAAGCTGTCCAACTCTTTGGGAGCTTCCTAGTCTATAACTAGAAAAACTAACAAAAACTTACGGGATGGAGCTTTTGGACTTTCCTGTGGTTTGGTGCAAAATCCATTTATTCTCTTCAAATCAGAGTTTCTTGTAAGCCTTAGAGACGAGGAAGCATCTCTCTCACATAACCTAAAACAACTTCCTAGAAAAGAGAGAAACATGTTTCAGAGAAAGAAAACTTTATGTTGTCTCAAAATGAGAAATGACTGTAAGGTATATATTTCATTTATAAAGTTTAACTCATTTAAAAAATGAATATACTACTCTCTCTGTGAGATACATATATGTAAGGTGCTATGCCTGGTGCTGTTTTAAAATATACATATTTTGCTGATTAGGAAATTAGGAATTTACGACATAAACATTTTATCACCTGTAAGTTTTACAAAAGTACCTCTCACTTGTGTCTTATTATAACAATATGGTTGATAGAAGCATTATGTATTATGGCACCCAGCTGTTTAGGTAAAGATCAGCAATCGCTCAGAAGTAATAAACCAAGATACAAAGTTACCAATACTATTCTGGTAAACTCTGGGGAGGGGGCTCCAGTGGCTAGCAAAGGGCGCTAGAAAGCCTTGTTCCTTCCAAGCCATAATTCTCCAATTAGAAATCAACTTTAGATGTAGTCATGAATTATGTGTAATTTTGAAACTATATATATATATATATATATATATATATATATAAATGTATAAAACTATATTACTATAGATAAGAACATAGGTAGTTAATTTTTAAAATCAAAACTCTAAACACCTACAGAGAGTAGTATTACAAATCTCCATGTGCTCACCCCCCAGTTTCAACACTTATTAATACATGGCCAATAAATATTGTTTTCATCTGAGCCCCTCCTACTCCCTTAACCCCTACTGAATTTTTTTTTCTTTTGAGGAAGATTAGCCCCAAGCTAACATCTGCCGCCAATCCTCCTCTTTTTCTGAGGAAGACTGGCCCTGAGCTAACATCCGTGCCTATCTTCCTCTACTTTATATGTGGGATACCTGCTACAGCATGGCTTGATAAGCAGTGCGTAGGTCTGCACCGGGGATCCGAACTGGCAAACCCCAGGCCACCGAAGCGAAACATGCGACCTTAACCACTGCATCACCAGGTCGGCCCCCACTACTGAATTATTTTAAAGCAAATCCCAAACATCATGTTAGTTTATCCATAAATACTTCAGTATACATCTCAAAACAATAGTAACTTTTCAAAATCATAGCCAGAATACCATTAATACAACTAAAAAATATTTCCTTGATATCAGCATGTTATGATGAAATAATATTATGACTCAATTTCCTTGAATGGGCACATAATTTTTTTACAGTTGGTTTATTGAAAATAGGTGCACACATTGAATATGACTGGTGCTTGTAGGTCCCTTCTACCCCCTTCCCTTTTTTCTTGTCATTTATTTATTGAAGAAACTAGGTCATTAGTTTTATAGAATTTTCCTTATTTTAGATTTTGCTGATTGCATCCCAATAGTGTTAACATATTTTTCTAACTCCTCTATTTCTTGTAAACAGATCTTGTGAGGTTTGATCAGATTCAAGTTAGAATCTTTAGCAACATGTCAGACATGGTATTGTGTACTTCCTACTGCATCACATCAAGGGGCATACATCGGTTTTGTCTTTTTGTGATATTAAGATTGATCAGTAGATGCTATCAGTCTGACCCATCCCTTATAAAGTTCTTTATCAACCTTTCATTTAATGTTTTTAGTAGACATTGGTGATCGCAGCCTAGATCTATTGTTTCATTAGGGGTTGCAATATGGTAGAATTCTTTTCCACGTTAACTATTTGGTTATCCTAAGGTAAAAGTCATACAGGAAATGTGGAATAAATGCTTGATTCTTTCCCTTTATTTGCCAGTTTTCAAATTAATGAATTGGTTTCCTTGCAACTTCCACAGGTGACCTTTTGTTTAAAAGTAGCATAAGAAACTCTTGCATTTTAACACACATGACGTACTCCAGTCCATTGTTTTTTTGCTTTCTGATGCTCAGATACTGCCATTTTTAGTCACTGGGAATCCTTCTAAGTTGGCTCCTGAGTCCTTTCAATGTGTGTGATCACTGATAGCTTCCTTACTTTCTGACAAGATGTCCTGACTCATTTTGAATGCTTCCTGCCCCTGATTTGGAATCACATTCCTCCAGGGGTTCTGGTTCCTTTAAGCAGGAAATGTTTTTAGAGATGCCTTAGGGAAGCTCCTTGTTACTGGGTATGTTATTGTTCCAGGCCCTGTCAGTGAACAAAAGCTGGGAAATACATTCGTTCTTTAAAAAAAAGTATGCTTAAAAACTTAGTTTCAGTTGTCAATTTTCACCTTCAGCATGAAAATTTTTAATAAGTCGATAATTGATCAGAATTCAAAGCAGAGACAGCCAGAAACAGTTTGCATGAATGTGGGAGAAAGGGGATAATTCTGAATATGAGGGTCACGGTACAAGATAAACCAGGGCTGGTATAGGATTCAGAGTTAGACCACAGAAGAGCCCTAGGGTCCCAGCACAGGCAAGAAAGCGAGCACTGTGAAGCAGAACGGATCAGAAAAGAAAGCTGGAAAGGCACCAGTGAGAAATATGACTAGGGTCCTGGTGCACCATGATGCTCTGGTGACAAAAAAAGGAATGCCCGAGACTTGCCTTTAATGCAACTAGAGTGTGCCCTCACAGCTCTGTGGTTAAAAGCTCACAGTAGAGTTCACATGGTTTTTAAAATCTATTTGTGAGTGGACAGATAGTCTGTATCTTTGAAGTTCCAAATTCCTATGTGGGCGTCTTTACAGCCTCAGAGTTTGGAGCACTAAGGGGAGGCAAAAGAGGGAATAGGAGTAAAACACAGTTACACAGGTGGACCTCCCAAAGCTGGTGAGAAATATGATTTCCTCACTTATTTCCTCTTGCTGTTAAAAAAAAAAACTAAACATAACAATTTAAAAGATATTGCTGTGGACTTCTCATGGGCATATGTTTATATTTGTTTAAAGATTTTCAAAATTACATTTATTGATACATAATTCCATATCATAAAAATTCATCCTTTTAAAGTGTACAATTCGGGGCGGGCCCCACGCGCACTCTGCTTCAGTGGCCCAGGGTTTCGCCAGTTCGAATCCTGGGCGCGGACATGGCACCACTCATCAAGCCATGCTGAGGCGGCATCCCACATGCCACAACTAGAAGGACCCACAACTAAAAATGCACAACTATGTACCGGGGGCTTTGGGAGAAAAAGGAAAAATAAAATCTTGAACGTGTACAATTCAGTGGTTTCACTATGTTCACAAAGTTGTGTACACAGCAGTACTGATTCCAGAAGACCACCGTCATCCCAGAGAGACACTCGAAATCCACGGGCACTCACTCCCCATTGCTTCCTCTCCCGCCTTAGGAACCACTAACCTACCTTGTCTCTATAGATTTGCGTATTCTAGACATTTTATAGAAATGAAATCATACAATATGCGGCCTTTCATGACTGGCTTCTTTCACTTAGCATGTTTTCAAGCTTCATCCACGTTGTAGCATGTATCAGTACTTGATTTTTTTTATTGACCAATTTTATTCCACTGCATGGCTATCCCAGATTTTGCTTACACATTAGTCAGCTGGACATTTAAGTGGTTTCCACTTTTTGGCTATTATGAATAAAGGTGATAGGGACATTTCTGTATAAGTTTTTCTGTATGTGTGTGAGGAAGATTGGCCCTTAGCTAACAGCTGTTGCCAATCTTTCTCTTTTTGCTTGAGGAAAACCGTCCCTGAGCTAACATCTGTGCCAATCTTCCTTTACTTTGTATATGGGATGCCACCACAGCACGGCTTGATGAGCCATGTAGGTCAACGCCCCAGATCCGAACCCACCAACCCCAGGCTGCAGAAGTAGAGCGTGCAAACTCATCCACTGCGCCACAAGGCCAGCTCCCTCTTTACAAGTGTTTGAGTGAACATTTACTTTCATTTCTTTTGGATATATATGAAGAGGCGAAATTGCTGGGTCACATGATAACACTATGTTTAATCATCTGAGGAACTGCAAGACTGTTTCCCACTGGCTGCAACATTTTAGGCTTCCATCAGCAATGTGTGAAGGTTCCAATTTCCCTACATCTTGGCTCACACTTATGTTTTTCTTATTAAAGGCATCCTAGTGGGTATGACGTGGTATCTCATTGTGGTCTTCATTTGTATTTTCCTACTGAGTAAAGATGATGAGGATCTTTTCACGTGCTTATTGGCCATTGGTATATCTTCCCGGAAAAATGTTCATTCAGCTCCTTTGCTCATTTCTTGACTGGGTTGTCTTTTTATTATTGAGTTTTAAGAGTTCTTTATATATTCTGTATACAAGTTCTTTATCTGATATATGATTTGCAAATATTTTCTCCCATTTCATGGGTTGTCTTTTCATTATTTTGATGATGTCCTTTAAGTACAGAAATTTTTAATTTTGATGAAGTCCAACTTACCCATTTTTTCTTTTGTTTGAGCTTTTGCTGTCATATACAAGGTCACAAAGGTTTACTCCCATGTTATCTTCTAAGAATGTTACAGTTTTAGCTTTAAGATTTAGATCTCTGTTCCACTTTGAGTTAATATTGGAATATTTTGTGTGGAAGGGATCGAATTTCATTCTTTTGCATGTGGTTATCCAGTTGTCCCAGCATCATTTGTTGCAAAGACTATTCTTTCCCCTGTTGAATTGTTTGGCACAATATAGAAAATCAATTGACCATAAATACGAGGGTTGATTTCTGGACTCTCAATTCTATTCCACTAATCTATATTCCCTTGTTCCCTTGTACTCTTTGTTGTGTTTTGCCACAAGAGTCTATCTTCTATGTTAGCTTAGTAGTCAGCTAACAACTGGACAGAGACTTCCTTAAATGCCTCCCACCAACAAGTTTGCCAGCCTTTGCTGAAAGGCTGTGTGTGTGTGTTGCAGCACACCCTGGGTTGTGGGGGGGGGGGGAGGGTGGCCCGGGTGATGAAGCTGTTTGCACTGAATTAGCTGTGAGACAGGTGAAAAAAAAAAAAAAAAAAAAAGGCGAGCTCTGTGAGGAAGGGTTTCCAGGCAACTGCCAGACAGGTTGAACAGTAACAATTCTCTGGGGCTGGGG